CTAGCCCCAGCCTTCTCAGCCAGCGGAGCTAGGGTTACCATCTGGCCGGGATTTGACTGGCCTGGCTGGCTTTTTTGTGGATTTGCCAGTTGCCAGAAAAATAATTTAATCTGCCAGGTTTTTTTTACATGGATCTAAAGATTTACATTATTGTCACAATGCACGGGGATATCTAATGGGAGAAGTTTCTGTGTCCAGCTAAAGATGCTGCAGTGTTCCCACGTTTGCAGTTTAAATAAGGAAATGATGTTATCAATCTAATCTATACGTGTTATCTCTTGAGATACTATTAATGACTGTTGAAGGGGGGGTTGCCTTGTGGGTGGAGCTGCAGCAGGCATGCCTTGTGGGGGGAAGTGGGGGGGGGGTTTACATTTCAAAGGTGAGGAGTACTTGTGGCACCTCAGTGACTAACCAATTTATTTGAGCATGAGCTTTCGTGAGCTACAGTTCAAGTGAGCTGTAGCTCACGAAAGCTTATGCTCAAATAAACTGGTTAGTCACTAAGGTGCCACAAGTACTCCTTTTCTTTTTGCGAATACAGACTAACACGGCTGCTACTCTGAAACATTTCAAAGGTAGTAACCCTAGCCTGCTCTTTGTACTGTGCTTGCCACTGGGTGTCAGCCTTTTGTTTGGCACATTTTAAAATCCATCGGTGACATTTGTCCTGATGCAGGGAGGCTAGCCCCTGCCTATGTGCCACCACCTAAGTCCCATTTAAGAGACATTTTTATTGCTGAAATGGGGGGTAGGCCTAACGGTGCTGGCTCCCTGTGTGGGAGGGAGGAGGGGGGGTCACCACGGTGCCTAATTCTGGACACCATTCTCTCCCCCAGAGCAGTCACCCACATGAGAGTAGAAACCCAACGAACTCACACAAGTTCTTGGCACGGTTCTGTCAGGGGAACGGGATTCTGTCCCCACCACCTCACAAAGAGGCTGGAGGTTCCAAGCCCAAACCCCACAGAGCTCAGCAATGCTGGAGGCCAAGGGCCTCTCACTGCTTCCTCCTCCTCCTGGCTGACTGCGGCTCCTGCACAGCACAGAATCCGGATGGCTAGAAGCGCCCCCAAAACCAGGACCCTCCTGCAGTATTGCTGGGAGCCACAGAGTCCGGCTATGCCGCTGACCCCTCCCCCCACACACATTCACCTCACCTGCCCTCTCCTTTCGAGCTGGAACCTGGCAGAACATCTGGAGTACTGTGTCCAGTGTTGGGCCCCACACTACAAGAAGGATGTGGAAAAATTGGAAAGAGTCCAGCGGAGGGCAACAAAAATGATTAGGGGACTGGAACACATGAGTTATGAGGAAAGGCTGAGGGAACTGGGGATGTTTAGTCTACGGAAGAGAAGAATGAGGGGGGATTTGATAGCTGCTTTCAACTACCTGAAAGGGGGTTCCAAAGAGGATGGCTCTAGACTGTTCTCAATGGTAGCAGATGACAGAACGAGGAGTAATGGTCTCAAGTTGCAGTGGGGGAGCTTTAGGTTGGATATTAGGAAAAACTTTTTCACTAGGAGGGTGGTGAAACACTGGAATGCGTTACCTAGGGAGGTGGTGGAATCTCCTTCCTTAGAAATTTTTAAGGTCAGGCTTGACAAAGCCCTGGCTGGGATGATTTAATTGGGGATCGGCCCTGCTTTGAGCAGAGGGTTGGACTAGATGACCTCCTGAGGTCCCTTCCAACCCTGATATTCTATGATTCTATGATCCACGGTAACAAGGCTTCTGTGGGGACTGGGCAGACCATCCCGTAGCAGTGGTAAGCTCCTTCCTTTGACGCACACCCACTGAGAGCCACAGGCTCCCCTCTGCGTGTAGAAGTTAGTAGGTATTATTTGTATAGCAGTAACACCTAGAGAGCCTACACAAAATCAGCCCCCCCCCCGTTATGCTAAGACTGTGTAAACACAGAGTAATAGACAAAGTCACAGAGAGCTGGCAGATTAAACAGACAAGACAGAAGAAGGAAAAAGACACTTGCTGAAGTTCCCACACAAGGTCAGCGGCAGAGCCAGGAAAAGTACCTAGATCTCTTGACTCCCACATTATTGATTCCATCTACTAGGCCATGCTACCTGTCATGTTGGAGAAAGCCTTCCAGGGCAGGCATTGTCTCTTTAACTGTGTTTGCACAGCGCCTGATCTGGGTGCATGAGAATAGATTGTAAATGGCTCGATCCATCAGCCACTTGAGGGGGGGCCAAAGATCCACACTGGGTTAGTGTGGACTGCAACAGCAACTTGGTCTATGCTGGCAGTGGCATGATGGGTATGTGTAGCTACATCCCATGACGTCACAGTGAAAAAGATACACTGTGTCCAGTCCACACTGTGGTGGGTAGCTCCATGCAGTAGTGAAAGGCTTTGGCAGAGAGGAGGCAGCGGGGAAACACTCTGCAAGCAGACAGGTGATGGGATAACACAGAGCTTAAAATAGCAGTGCAGACAGGGGAGGCGCTGCTTGAGGGTGCAGAGACGCGTCTCAGGTACATACCCTAAGCTTCTGGTGTAGCTGTATGCCACTCTCCTGAGCAGTGCCTCACTATCTACACCGTTATTTATACCCGTGCCGAGGGCAGTGTGCTGTGTAGGTACTCAACACGTAGCCACAAGTGTAGACCCACCTTAAACCGGAGTTAGAACAGGCCCAACACTTCAATAAGAGCTTGATCCCATGCAGCAGAGGTGTGGTCAGTTGGGAGCCAAAGAGCAAAGTAAAAGCGTGGTGCAGAAGATGGAGTGCAGGGCAATCCGAGCCTGCATGCGTTAGCACACTGCTGTGCAGCTGCCGAGTGACTCCTGCCTATTAGCAAGAGAAATCAGGCTTAAGAGGGAGCAAGGTTATTTAGGTGTTGCTCCATTCAGTGGTGCAACACCTAATTGACTTGGGAGCTGTCATAAATATGAAGGGAAGGGTAAACACCTTTAAATCCCTCCTGGCCAGAGGAAAAACCCTTTCACCTGTAAAGGGTTAAGAAGCTAAGATAACCTCGCTGACACCTGACCAAAATGATCAATGAGGAGAAAAGATACTTTCAAAGCTGGAGGGGGGAAATAAAGGGTTCTCTCGGTCTGTGTGTTGATTTTGCCAGAACCAGAGCGGGAATGCAGGTCAGAACTCCTGTAAAGGGTTAATAAGCAATCTAGTTAGATATGCGTTAGATTCTGTTTTGTTTAAATGGCTGATAAAATAAGCTGTGCCGAATGGAATGTATATTCCTGTTTTTGTGTCTTTTTGTAACTTAAGGTTTTGCCTAGAGGGATTCTCTATGTTTTGAATCTGATTACCCTGCAAGGTATTTACCATCCTGATTTTACAGAGGTGATTCTTTTACTTTTTCTTTAATTAAAATTCTTCTTTTAAGAACCTGATTGCTTTTTCATCATTCTTAAGATCCAAGGGTTTGGGTCTGTGTTCACCTATGCAAATTGGCGAGGATTTTTATCAAGCCTTCCCCAGGAAAGGGGGTGTAGGGCTTGGGGGGGGGGATTTTGGGGGGATTTCCAACTGGGCTCTTTCCCTGTTATTTTTGTTAGACGCTTGGTGGTGGCAGCAATAAGGTCCAGGGACAAAAGGTAAAATAGTTTGTACCTGGGGGAAGTTTTAACCTAAGCTGGTAAAAATAAGCTTAGGTGGTTTTTCATGCAGGTCCCCACAGTTCAGAGTGGGGAAGGAACCTTGACAGGAGCCTAAGTCCCATTGGCTTCTAACTCCTAGAGACTGAAGCTTTGCTCGACGTCGCAATGAGAGATACGTGAATCACCGATAACCAATTTCTTGGTTGGATGGCCAGACTGGACAATGAAAAACAAAATTGCTTCAGGGTGACCCAAGATCGTAGAGCCATGGGATAGATGGGACCGCAAGGGTCATCTAGTCTAACCCCCTGCCAAGATGCAGGGTTTGTGGTGTTTAAAGGTAAGTGTTTTCCAACCTTTTTGGCAAACCGAAAAAGGAGAAAAAATTCATTTCAAGTTGAACAGATCTTTTTGTTTTCTAGGTTTTTTTTTCAACCTTTGAAAAAAAAATCTGAAGTAAAATTTGACCATAAAATTGTTGAAATTGAAAAATGGAAGTGTTTCATTTAGAAAATGTCGAAACAAAATGTTTTTTGTTGTTGTTGTTGTTAACCGAAGCAATTCAGCAAATTTGATGTGAAGTCACAAAATGTTTTGGTTGATCCTAAACTGTGTTTTTTTGTGAAATTAGCTTTATCTGCAAAATCACGCACTGCTCTCATTGCAATGCCTAACTACCTTTCAAAATCCGGATCTGAGTGCCAGATGAATGTGAGGATGATGCTGAGGACTAGTTTCCCTCAGAAACACCGATTCTTGCCTCCACTCCACCCTTTTGTATCCTGCACACATGAGTATGCAGTGGCCCCTCAATTCATGAACATACGTCAGTGTATCTTGCAGAGTAAGGATGCTTTCCTGAATAGGGGCCTGGGTTTGCAGGGAGCTTGGGGTTTACGATCACTAAGGCTTGGTCTATACTAGCAACTTATGTCAGTGTAACTATGTCACTCAGGGGTGTGGAAAATCCACACCACTGAGCAGTGCAGTTATAATGACCTAATTCCCTGTGTAGATGGTGCTAAGTCCATGGGAGGACTTCTCATAGCTCATGTCTCTCAGGGAGGTGGATTACCTACGCCAATGTGTGAAGCCCTCCCGTCAGCGTAGACAGCGTCTTCACTGACGCACTAAAACAGCGCAGCTGCACCAGTGCAGCATTTGAAGTGTAGACAAACCCATAGCCTAGAGGACTTCACCTAGCACTTAACTCTACTGCAGCCCACATGGAGCATCCATTGCACCTTCACTGGAGGCTGAACCCCAAGCAAGGACTTGCAAGCTCAAGCCCTAAGGGTTGCTGGTTTTTCAATGCTCTGCAAAAGGAAGCAGAATTTTCCATGGTGCCGGCTGGGGCATTGGGATGCAAAGTGGCTACAATCAGAATATCTAGGACACTGGCTGTTTCAGGTTATATTTTATTTTGTCCAGGGGTGTAAAATGTGCAACAGGTATGTTTATAGGACTGCCAGCTCATTAGCCAATAGGAATTGCAACCAAAAAATAAATCAAACCAAAGAAATCTAACCATATACTGCTCTACAGCAATTAGTGCAAGTCAAGTAAAACATTGGTTCGACACATAAAAACAACTAAAAAGGCATTTCCAGGCCACAGGTATTATACACTGTGCTGTGAGGTGGTTACATTTTTCTCTCAGGTGTGGGGGGAGAGAGAGTGGGAAAGCGCCTAGTAAGCATATTCAAGCTTAGCATTTTTGACCTTTTCAGTCAGGCCCCCCTTCTGCCCCCAAAATCACAAGTGTGGCATAAACAGCACAAGATTTAAAAAGAACACTAAAAGCTGGGGTCTTTTTTATTTACTTTCTGGTTTCTGAGCCTTGCATGCAAGGGACATTGTCAAGCTTTTCTCTGCAAGCATGAGTACTACAAACTTACTGTTTTGATGCAAGCTGAGATTCTCCTGTAATCACCTGACTCTAGGAGCTGGGGCTTCAAGTGAAACACTGACTATCTTGAGACTCGTGATAAAATAATGAGAGTTGGAAACACTGGTTCCTTCACCTGTTATCTGTGCAGTAGCTTTCTACCCTCATGCACCCAAACAGCTACTCTCCCCAGCAAATAGGGAAGGGGACTGGAGGCAGAGCTGCTTCCGTTCTCCAGCTGTCCATGCCCATTTGTGGGGTCACAAGAAACTCCTGCTCTCCTGTCTGTATAGAATGAAACATTCTGAAGGTATGTTCTCTCTTTTGCCTTTGCACAGAGACAAAAGAAAGGAGACGACATTACTTTCCTAAGCCTGACAATTGTAACTGAGAGTGCTCAGAACTTGGCAGAAACTGGCTCCCTATATGTTTGCAGCACCAGATTTTCAAAATCGTGGCCCCTATAGACTCATAGACTTTAAGGTCGGAACGGGTAGGTTTACACTGCACCTGGGAGCATGTCTCCCAGCCCGGGAAGACAGACATGCGCTAGCTCTGTTCAAGCGAGCACGCTAAAAATAGCAGTGTGGGCTAGCTGCCTCAGTATGGACCCAGGAGGTTGGCCAGCCTTGGACTCAGGTGGCTAGACCATGGCACAATGTCCACACTGCTACTTAACCGTGCACTAGATCAAGCAGAGCCACCCGGGCTGGGAGACACACTCAGCTGCAGTGTAGACATCACTTATTAGTGCATGCATCATGACAGAATGACATGTCCCCCGTGTGTGTGGATATAGGGCAAATATATTTTGTGTGTGGGAATTATCCACCAGTTTATCCACATCTTTCTGGTACTGGGGATGATGGCTGTCTGACCAGACAATATAACTGAACTACTGTGTGTTTTCTTATCCGTTAGTAGGTACATGTGGCCAACTGGGAAAGCTGACCAGGGCTTAGCACTTATCCTTTCATTTGATTAATTGAACATGTAGCTACTCAAACATCTGGTGTCTCAAGGTGACTTACCTGGGGCTCTACCAGGTGGATAGAGTTGTATGTGGTTTCCTGTCTGATTTCTAGTCACTGCTCTTATGAGGAAAGTTAAACTTTCTCTTGGTTTTGGTCTTTTAATGTATTAGTTCCACTTTTCAGGCTTCTGGACTTTTCTAAAAAATTGAGAGCTATGTCGTTCTTCAACTGTGACAAGAATAATAGGCCCTGAAGTCAACGGGGCTACACAAGTGCTTAAAATTAGGCATATGCTTAAGTACCTCTAGTATCTGGGCCATAATTAAAAATGATGAGAAGAGGAAGAAGATGCCACCTCACTAGGGTGACCAGATGTCCCAATTTTATTGGGACTGTCCCAATATTAGGGGCTTTGTCTTATATATTCAACTATATTACCTTTCTCCCATCTCCTCAGCCCCGAAAAAAAAAGTGTCCCACTTTTCCACACTTGTTATCTGGTCACCCTACACCTCACCAGTAGCTCAGAGAGAATGTGGCCATCTCTAGTTCCTTCCAGGCAAAAGGCCTGAATCTGATCTCACACCAGTTGAAATCAGAAGGGATTCCCTTGCAACTAATAGAGTTATACTGCTATAAATGCTATCAGCCTCAGACTCTCAGGGAGCAGCTGAAAAGAACATCATTGACAGTCACGGCTGACATGCAGTTCATGATTAGGAGAGCAAGGCTGAGTTATGGAAGGGTTATGGAGAATGCACAGTGAGATGCTCCCTCCAATATTTCACACACACATGCACACCTCTATATATACCTGTGGCCCAACATCACCGCACAACATTGAAATGTAAAGAAACTGCAAGGCAGAAATAGAGTCTGTTATATTCCTTCCACCATGAAATGATCTCAGCCAGCTACATACAACCAAAATGAGCTCATTCAGGAAAATCAACCTTAACTTCTTATCGTAATAATAACAACAATGGTTTCCGTTAACCATAAACATTGCAGCTAGACAATTAAATACGGAGCGAATATTTTACAAAAAGCCTTTGGAAATCGCCAAATTTGTATATTCTGCAAACAAATCGGCATTTAAATGTTGCTGTAAAAACTTGCCATTGGTTGGACTTCTGGAACTGTTTGGCTTTCCAATGTTTGCCCTCACACAAGAACCAAGTCCTGCTCATAATTTAAGAGACTCAATTAATACTGTTTAATAAGTATGTAAAAGTAGCTTGTCTTTTTAAAAAATGTATAGGTTCAACAAAAGTTAAGGATGATTGTCCCATGATTAACTAAGGCAAACTTGTTTGGGTATCTTTTTTTCCTTTCTTTTTTTTTTTTGTACATAAAGCAATCACATAAAAATAGTTATAAATAGAAAATGTCCAAAGTTTTTTTCTGCACAAACAGGAAAAAAAATTAAAAACCAAAAACAAAATTAAAAACAAAAACACACCTTGCTTCAAGTTCTTGTAGATTATACAGTACTCAGCATCTTTGGATACTTTACATGACTCCAAATTGTAGACAAAAACACCTGAAATAACCAGTTGTCTGTAAAATGTAGTTTGTATAAGAAGTTGGTACATATACAAAAAAAAGTTTGATGCAGTTTTAAAAAGTTCTCTTTCCAGTCCTCACTTTTCATTGCACACAGGGTCTCTGTGAATTTATTTTTGTGGGGCAGGGGGAAGCTAGAATCAGGCAGTTCATCAGGATCATTCTTTTATATGTGTTCTCAAAGCAGAAAGGAATTATTTATGCTCAAAGTGCTTCTTGACAAAGGGAATCATATGTGAGAGCGACTTCGAAGAGGGTGCTCATTTTGTCCCGTGGATGTAGCAACGTCAGTGGTCCGGTAGAGAAACCCTCCTTGAATTGTGACTGAAGAGCAGTACCTTTAATGGATGAACTGAAATTAAAAAAAAAAAAAGAAACTATGGTCCTCTGGTTCTCTTTGATTCTGCTGAAACCAAAAGATAACAGTAAAAAATAGAGAGAGCATGCCATAGTTTTTAAAATTTACATTTTTGAGCCTTCATTAAACTGAAAACCAGTCTCTGTATTGGCATCAAACTAACTGCAGGTCACATCAGTAGACTGTTTGTTAAAAAGTTACTCCCATTGTTTAAAAGGGGAAAATAGAAGCACATTGCTATCAAAGCCTTCTTTCAGTGGAGTATCTCATATTTTATGTTGTAAGCCCTATATTTCTGAGCTGACAAATGCTGAAGAAGTATGATTTCTACTAGCACTCAGTGGCAGTCGTGTTTTGTGGACTCTTTAGTATAATAATTTTCAATCAGGATCCCCTGAGCAATATCCGAATCCTTTTCCCAGATGATCCTATACAGCAGGGTCTTTGTATGCTCAGCATTTCGTCAAGGGATTCTGACATGTGACATATTTGCTAGTAATTAGTAATGACCCTAGGCCAGATCCTCAGCTGCAATAAATCAGCATAGCTGCCAAAAGCAGCATTCATTTGCACCAGCTAAGAATCTGGCCCATGTCGAGGCCCTTTCAGACTGTTTTGGTCATTTGATTACGGGGTTAAAAAACCAAGGAATTTAGAAGTGGCAAAAAAATGGTTTGCCATCTTCATTGATGTCCAGCTAACCATCTGGTATCACGAACGGAGAGCAATGGAAATCTCCTTCGGAAGCACTGTCTTGACCTCCAAACTAAGGCAAATGATGTTTTCAGAAGCATTCAAAAAACGAGCCATCTGCATCCTGGAGCTTGACCCTTTCCACTCCCTCAAAACTGGATTCCAAGAACTAAGGGGAGGCTCTACTGCTGGGAGGAGACAAGCTTGTCATCTCTTATGCCAAGGGTCCTACAAATGGTCTAAAAGGACACCCCTAGCAGATTGTTCTGGTGGAGTCACTGACAAACTCAACCTACATTTCCTAGTACAATCACAGAACAATACCCAACAGCAGCACCTCATTCAGAAGAATGTCCATTGTCTGCTCGGGTGTGGCTCTGCCTACCATCCTATGGCACCGTCTAGATTCACATGGGTGACCAATTGTTTCTTTGGAGTGAGATGATGAGAGACAGCAGGTAAGAATCAGAGAGAGTCGTTCACTCTTTAAGAATGGTACAGAACGTACCACACCCAATGCATGGGTAGAACTGGTTTAGTTGCTAGCCTCAGAAATTGGGGCCACATGGTTTAGTCCAGGCAGTCCATTGAATCCTGTGCTCCAAGGGTCAGGGAGAGGGAAGTATGGCCGTGCCGAGATGTTCTCGTTATGGCCCAGGGCAAAGGCAAAGATGCCCCTGTTCCTTTCCATGTCCAGGTGCGTCCTCCCAAACAGCTTCATTTGGGTTTCTTCGAACTGGCTCTCTAGATCTTGCAGGTTTAGAGCGTTCTTGGCCCCACTCATGAAGTGCTTGTGGCTGGGGCCTGGAAGGCACATGGCCGTGGTGCCAAGATGGCTGCTCATTTCCTCCAGAGTCGGAGGCATCATGAAGCCTTTCTCATCTGGCTGGCCATTCTGTGCGAACAGCAAGCTGGCTGCCCTCCAGGCTGCGGGCTTGCGCCCCCTCCTGGGCCTGGATATTCGACAGCTCTGCCGCTTGATGTGGCGGTGGAGGTGGTCGGAGCGAGTGAAGCTCTTGTAGCAGAATTCACACTGGTAAGGCCGGACACCCGTGTGAATGCGCATGTGGTTTTTTAGGTCGTAGTTGTGCACGAATTTGGCATTGCAGTGTATGCAGAGGTATGGCCTTTCTCCCGTGTGTTTCCGCATGTGGATTTTTAGCTTGTCCTGCCTGAAAAACAAACGTCACAGCCACCTGTTATCACTTGAGCATAGACACTTCAAGGGGTGCTGTCACATTAACCCCCCATGTAGCCTTTATTTTTTTTAAATATACATAATATTAAAAAGGCCAGTGCCAGGGAGGAAGAATGGTCTTGTGGTTATGGTATGAGACTGGAACTCAGATCCTAGCTCTGCCATCAACTTCCTCTTGACCGTGAGCAAGTCACTTAATCTCTTTCTACTTCATTTCCCCATCTGTAAACTGGGGATACTCATGCTTCTCTACCACCCCGGGATATTGTCAGGAGAGATACTTGGGAGGCACTAAGGCCCAGACCTCAAAGGTATGCAGGCACCTAATGCCCACTGATTTCAATGAGAGTTTAACACCTATATACCTTTGAGGATTTGGGCCTAAGACAAAGTGATGAAGGGTCACATAAGTAGCCGGAGAGGTAGGTTAAAATTCATCCCTACCTAGAACTAATCCACCCACCCACTTGCTACAGATAACGTGAGTTGGTGTTTCCACTCCACACTCTCACTTTCCAGGCTGGAGATCATTTGGCTCCAACTCTGTATCCAAAATGTTGTGATACGTGCAAGTCTCTTGGGTTATTTGACAATCAAAACTTTAACATTAAATGCTAAAGAGGAAACAAATTAAATAAGACCCATTTCTACAATGATGGATCCAAGAAATCACCCAGCATTTAATGACCAGGCTGAGGGACAGCAGGGGAAGAGTGATATTTATGTAATTACAAATTTAAAAAAAAATAAATTAGCAGATCTGCATACGTATATCAGGTGCTTTGGGGCTGGACTCCCTCCCCCTAGCCATTGCATGTTGCTGATCCTCGCTTGTCAGCTGTTCACAGAGGTAGTTACAGTCTCTGCCTTGGACAGCACCTACGACCCAAACCTGGTGAGACGAGCTGCACAGTTTTCTGGGAAAAAACATGGCAACATTGTCTGCTCTGGAAGAGTGAACTTTCACCCATCTACAGAAGGTCAGACCGGCTGTGGCTCCAACAGGCAGGGTATGTAGCTATGGAGAAGACACTCAGGGTCTCCACGACCTGCATACCTTGGACTTGAGCCTATGCCAGCTCTGCATAGGCCACCATAGAGAGGCCATTTGGAGAGGAGCAAAGGCATGGCCATTGGGTCCATGCTTAGTGAGAATCAATGGCCACAACCCACATCTATGGGTATGGACTTTTCCAGCCCTGGAGTTGGAAAAACCCCAGGCCCTGCCAGTGGGTCAGGTTTTGTTCCACCCCAATCCCGGCACTGCTCCCTCATGCGAACCCCATTCACTCAGGCTTTCTGTAGGCTGGTGTACAGATGTAAGATGCACGCCCAGGCTCCCTAAGGAAGGCATTCTGCTGAGGCTCAGCTGAGGTGTAGTGGGGAAGGCTGGGGACGGAGCCATCACACATCAGAGCAGATCTGAGCCCTTAGCATGGAGTGGTAGTAAACTCTACCTAGTTCTATCTCCTCCCAACTTCCCAAATAGCCTCTACTGAGCAGCATCAGGAGGACACATCCGTGGCAGCACGGGTCCTGCAGCAGTAGTCCTGTAACCAGGGGACACAAGAGGTGCAGCTGTCCATGTATCTCTGCCCAGGAGGGGGCGAGCAGGAAAAGCAGATATTTAACTTTCTGAGCTGACACCCCAGCTACAGTCTATAAGGCACAGCACGTAGTGACACGGCAGACAGCCACTGACATGGCTCCAGTGGTATCCAAGGCACCGATCACCTTGGGATCTAAGCCCCAATGACGGCATTGCCACAAATGAGGCGGCCATGTAAGATCCCTGACCTGACCGCCTCTTATTCCAATGGACATAGATAGCATGGTGCACATTGGTATCTGGGAGTGGTGGGCCAAGCTTCCCTACAGCACAAGAGCTTATCTCCATGGGAAATGTTTCCAGTGATGGCCATATAATGATATCAGTATGGTTAAACAGCTGTAGTTATATGGTATAACTCGCCGTGTGGGTGTGTTATAATGGAATAGGAGTGCCCGCATGGGGGCAGGGGGTGCATTACACTGGTATAGCTCTACCAATTTAAATATAGCTTTCCTGTATAGATGAGCCCTAAGGTCCATCCTAACAAACACGCCGACCATGCTCACTTCTATTTGACGAAAGGGAAGATCCCATAACACCAGCTACACCGGGCCCCTTCGGCACAGCTGCTTTCAGCTCCGTGCAGGCTTCAGGAAGCTCCATCTAATGGCATCCACAGAACCATCTGCTCGCTAATCCACAAGACCAACGAGACAGTTAGCCTCTGGCTCCAGCAGGGGGCAGTACAGAGCCACACCACCACAGGGACAAGCTCAGGGGGGATGGGGCACCTACTTCTTCCAATGCAGCTGGCCTGCTCCATGGACTGGTGCCATGGCCCTGCCGCCTCCCTGCCCCCTTCAGGGCAGACGGATGAGGGAAGTCCCCTGAGGTCAGGGACTGCAACTGTCCCAGGTCCTTGGGCAGGTGATGCAACGGGGTGGGGAGAATTTCCTTGTGTTGCACCCATGTCAAAACCCAGCCCAAGGAACTCAAGCAGTAGAATTTTAGCTGGGAACAATTTTCAAACTCCCTTTATCCAGAGCATGTAGTGCTGGCGAAAGGCGGCAGATTTGCTGCCCTGGCAACTGAGGCTGTCTCTAGCTACAAAGGAGGCGTAACACAGGCAGATTTCTCCCTACTGCCCCCACTGATCTACATCAACCACGGCACGATGGAGAACTTCCGTACCCCTGCCAGCGGTGCCGGGTAATGCCAATGGCACACAGCTTCTGGGCCCAGTCCTGGGAAATGCTGAACACCTTCTGAGAGACGCTGGGAGCCTTCACCTCCCATTGACTTCAGCTCCCAGGATCAGGCCCTTTCGAAGGGACTTTCCCTGGCTAGTGTGGTGATAATGCTTTGCATATTGCTACGTGTGTGCCCCAGGTTCAAATCCTGCTCCTGATTTTTCTCTTCCCGGGCTAGCTGTGGCTAAGAGCTCTGAGAAGGGAGTGTGCTCCCCAGAGGCAGGCTACTGTATTGATCACCAGCAACCACTGGGGCAGATTCGGGGCGGCTCACAAGTCAGTGGGCTCCCATGGGGGCAGGGACTGCTTCTTCCTGGTGCCCCTAGGGGCAAAAATCAAACTACATGGGGGGAGGGGGACCCCAGAGCAAATGGCCCCCAGCTCCTTTGCTCTGGCTAGCTGGGCTGGCCAAGCTTGCAGCAGATCACATGCATCTTTTTAAAGGGTGCAGTGCTCTGTCCCCCTCTAGTGGTGGCTGGGCCACATATAGATTGAGCCTGCTGCAGCCTTAGCTAACAGAGTCTTTGAGTTCAAGAAGTAGAGGCTTTAAAATTCCACAGTCCCAGGTTCAATCCCCCTAGGGCTCTCTAGCACTGCACATGCAACAGATGAGAGGTTTGGCTCTGCCCCATTACCACCGACTCTGTCTATGAAATTCTGCCTTTCCCTTGCTGTTCCAAAGTGTACTTTGCACTTATTGTTTTCTAGTTATTTCATGTTCTTCTAAAAGCCGCACAATCACACCCTTCTACTTTCAGATCCTGCATCTGGTCCCCTATGCAGTCGAAAGAAATTGTTTGACAAAAATACAAGCAAAAAATTAAATAATTTCCTATCATCAAAACCAGAGATTAACATCCACTGGGAAATAGGATGACCTTCATGAGATTGGAGAGACAAAGTGGGTGAGGTAATATCTTTTACTGGACCAACCTCTGTTGGTGAGAGAGACAAGCTTTCGAGCCACTGTCAAAAGCTTGTCTCTCTCACTAACAGAAGTTGGTCCAGTAAAAGATATTATCTCACCCAGCTTGTCTGTCTAATATCGTCGGAACAACATGGCTACAACTACATTTGGTGAGACTGGCATTGCTGATTAGTGCATTTTGGTGAAATATAATTTGGTGCTAAATCTTCCCTTTCTGTTATACACCCAATGACCATGAGGTGTCACACGAGCTTGCTTTTAAATATGGTGTTTCAACTTGTTAAGATTTTGAGATCGTTGCAGAATATGGATAGGTACATTTTACACTAGTTAGTTGTTTATAGTAACATCCCAGGGACTTACACAAAGATTTACAGTTTGGCACATACACTGTCTAAATTAAAGGGATATTGTGCAGCTCCAAATTTAGATTTTGGTGAAGATTTTTAAAAGCACCTATTGGATTTAGTAGCCAAATAACATTTATTTCTAAAATAAATATTTTTTGGAAAAGTCTAAGACCAGTAGAAATGTTTCGATGATTTTTTAAAAAATCCAATTGATTTTTTCAAAAAAATGAACATTCTCCTACGGTGTTTGCAAATCTCAACATTGCAGCATAGCTCGAGATCCTAAAAAGTGAAAATGCCTAGCCAATTTCAATTGTCCAGAATGAAGAGAAAGGCAGAAAGGAAACAAACTGCATAATAGCAGAAAGTAAATCTGATTTCTGAAATCCCTTCAGTTTTATTTATCTAAAATGTTTGTAACATGACTAAGATTTAAATTATATTTATATATGCACACAAAGAAACTACATTAAAAGAACATTGTTAAGGCTGCAAAGTCAAGCACTCAGAAAGTTAGGAAATGCCAGAATTAAGGTTGGGTGAGGTAAGAGAGTAATTGATAGCAGTGACTGAAAGAAAAGGAGTACTTGTGGCACCTTAGAGACTAACCAATTTATCTGAGCATAAGCTTTCGTGAGCTACAGCTCACTTCATCGGATGCATGCTGTGGAAAATACGGAAGATATTTTTATACACACAAACCATGAAAAAATGGGTGTTTATCACTACAAAAGGTTTCCTCTCCCCCCACCCTATTCTCCTGCTGGTAATAGCTTATCTAAAGTGATCGCTCTCCTTACAATGTGTATGATAATCAAGGCGGGCCATTTCCAGTACTGGAAATGGCCCACCTTGATTATCATACACATTGTAAGGAGAGTGAGAGTGATCACT